CAAAGTCTACATATACACTCTCCATGAACATCTGCAGTATTCAGAGCTAAGACACAGTAACTTTTTTTAATATGTCAGTATTGCATAAAGCCCACTGTTGCACAACAGTGGAACAGGGTATATGTACACGTTATGGGCTACAGGTCCCAGCTTCCCTTTTTGTCATCATCAAATGAATAAATCAAAAATTGACATAGTTAATCTAAATTACACGACAAACCCAAGGACAGATCAGGAACAAACGTTTTCTTTGGAGGGGCCAGATTTCTTTGTGAGGTCACAAAACACAGGAATTCCTGTATGTTAATCACCTTTTATGGACTCCTTAAAAGGGAGTAAATTGTGAGGCTTTGTTCCTAGGCATTCGTAAGATAAAATGAGAGGGTCCCAAAGACTTGGCTCTATCTCATTTTTGGAAACGTCAGAATATTTCGCCTCCTTCAGGATTGCTATGCTCCCCATTGGCCCCTCCCATTCCCAAGATCTGCCCTGATAACCCCCCCCCCCTGAGTGCCAAGCAAGGTCAGCAATCATCCATTTGACCTGGAAAATAATTGTATTTAATTTGAGGCATAGCTAAAAGCTAGATTTAAAGGAAATCATTGCAAACAATCTATTCACAGTTAAGTGACTAGTTATTTATATTTTATCACATATAATTAAAATTATATGTGATAAATGCATCCATTACCAAGACCTGACTGGCATGCATTATATAGAACTGACTCATTTGTAACTCTAGTCACTACTACTCACTATATCAAATGTAATAATGTTTTAGGTAGGTTTAAAAGCAGAAATGTTGAGGCCTTCCCCAAGACCATCTTAAGCCATAGTGATGACAGGATGCTACGGGCAGGGATACTGCAGGGCTCCTTGGGGTACAGCCAGGGCAGCAGTTTAATTTTTTGTCCAGAGACTTCCTTGAAACTTCATTTATTGCAAAAAATAAAGAATACCTCATTGTAGTAGTCAAAGAGTTGATTGCATCGATTGCCCATAAGACAGCTCTTGTACATGTAGTACTTTGAAACATCGATTTTTTGCATTTGTTTGCATGCA